CCTCATCACCATCACCATGCTCACCATCATCATCATCACCATCATCTTCATCCTCACCATCCTCACCATCCTCACCGTCATCCTCATCACCACCATCATCATCACCATCATCATCAAAATAATTCTTTCCATTCAGCCGCAGTGGATGTAATTCTCTGCAGCTTTGAACGTTTTCATCCATTAATTGTTTTTCTTCATTAAATTTTTGGATTCGCCGCCCGCCATCTTTATCGTCGTCGTCATGTCGTCATGACGTCATCTCTGACGCGGCTGTTTACAAGTTAACTTTCACATTTTAGAAATTGTAATCAAGATTGCGTAATATTAGTGCATGGTGTAGTGTAGCGGTGAAGTGCCTGCCGCCGCTACTGCAGTGACCAGGTTCGATTGCAGAGAGATTCCAGCCAGTTACAGGCGATGTGGGTGATGTGTTGTTCCAAGTGCAATGTGTGTTTATTGTTGACGCATCTGAAGAATATTGGAGAGAAAATTGTATTAATAAAATAGTTAAATGAAAATTCAATCATCATCATCATCTTTGTCATCATCATCATCTTAGTCATCATCATCATCATCTTAGTCATCATCATCATCATAGTCGTCATCGTCATCATCTTAGTCATCATCATCTTAGTCATCATCATCATCCCAGTCTTCGTCACCTTCCATTGAACATGTACTATATTTCAATTACACAACTCCTTAGACATTCGTAAATTTAATTACTACCTGGCTTTCTCTGTTACCGCCAACTAAATAGTTATTGTCTTCGCCATCATCATCATCACCATCGTCATCATCATCATCATCATCGCAATTACCATCATCATCATCAACTTAAACTTCATCATCATCACCAACTTACACTTCATCACTCATCATCATCATCATCAACAGCTGTCACATTCAACCAATGAAATATTATTCATTCCCACAAACCTCCACAACCAAATTAACAAAGTCAGGACCGAGTGACATCGACAAAGTCGGAAACGATTAGCATCAGACGGCCCGCATGCAGGTACCATTCACGCCACGCGCAACATCCGAGCATGTATTTGATGCAGAACCGTGACAGCCAGTCGCAAGACAGTCAATTAAAACATGACCACCAACTGCAGCAAGATACTTTGCAGCAGCAGCAACGATCATTACTAAACAGCAACCAGCAACAACTCTATCAGCACTCGCAACAGCAACAACAATCGCATCAGCAACTGCAAACGCAACTGCAACCGCAACCACATTGCAAATCCTCCCCCTTACGCACCATGTCAAACAATCGAACACCGACCGACAAACAAACTTCGCAGGCGATTAAGTCTAGCGTCGAATCCCCGTCAGCTCTTTTGACTCAACCGAAGAGAAAAATTCAAAAATTGGATTGCGTACATCCAGTGAGTTCTGTCGCGAAAACATTGAGCAGCCTGTCAGTCGTAAAACTTTTCGATAGAAGTTGTGAGAAATTGAGCAAAAAGATTCGAAAAACTAAAGTAATAAAGTCTCCAAAATCGCCACCCTACTCTCAAAACCATTGCTCAGTGAACAGCGCCGAATATTTCGACTGTTGCCAGAGCGGTTACATGAAGCCAGCCAACTTCGTCGGCAGCAAAGTAGCACATGACAGCTGTCAAAACGACGTCGTCTCAGTCGCAAGCAGCAACAACCACTGCAGCGCTCAAATGATCGTCTTAAAACCAACTTTCCAAACATTCCACAACTCTCAAAACATAGCCAACGCTCTCGACATCAAAAGCAGCGTAAACAGTGTCGTTGATAGCAGTAGTAGTAGCAACAACAACAACAACAACAACGTCACCAACATCACATCAACATCGTCAGAATACTTTGAATATTTGAACAATCCAGGCTATGCTAAGTTCTTTGCAAAGGAGATGTCCCTGAAGAAGGCGGGACCAGCTTCTGAGCGCCTGCGACAAATGGCCTCCAAGTATCACAACAGAGCCACCTCGGACGAGGGTTACTACTCGGCTGATTACTTCGATTCAAACAACTTCGAAATTACTTCTTACTCGTCGGGCTGCGAGAAGGGTAAAGAAAACAAATTGAAATATCAATTAGAAAGTCAGTGTACAGTAGAAGAAGACCACAAAATGGAACGGGATGGAGACTGCCTCGGTAGAAACATCAATCCCAATTTTGAGACGTCTTCTCATATTTACGAGCCCTTCAACAATAAGCCGACATCATCATCATCGTCATCGTCTTCATCCACGACAACATCGACACTACTTCCATCTTTAACTGCATCATCATCGTCATCATCATCTTTCTCGTCCAGTGCCGCACCAACATCATCAACAGTGACGACGACAACAACAACAACAACAACATTCCAACAAAGCAGCAAAGACACGTTGAACAAACCTGTGATTATAACATCTCCACTTTCAAATTACCACAACTACAAATCATACAACCCCTGTTATGACAGCATAAAAACGCCATTCGACCACCCATATTACTACAACGCATACGCATACGTTCCAGCCGACACGCAAAATTACTACTATCAATACTACCAGAACTATTATCAACATTATTCTAATAACGTAGTACAAAAACCTCAAGATGAATGGGTGAGCATGGAGACACCTTATGTGGAGTATGGGGACTGCACCACTTCGGCACATTTCACTTCATCCTTCTCTACTCTCCAGGACTCATTCAACTCAAACTTGCGTCATGATCTGGAGCCATCCCAGCATAAAGACTCGAGTCTGATGACAGTTTCTAGCAATAATTATTCTACAGACTGTGGCTACGTAGACCAGCAAGTTGTCTACAACATGCAACAACAACAACAACAACAACCATTCAACGCACATCACTGGTTTGATGCGGAAAATTATCAGTATTTCGATGCTCCCCTCACATCCAATGGAAGCAGAAGTAAACAACAACTTTGCACTGGCGTAGACTCCGATAATGTTAGCAATAATTTAAGCAGTAGCGGTTTAAATGGTGAAATAATTACTGATTACTCTGGCGAACATGGCAAAGTTGTTAACAAAGACAACAGCCACAAGGTAAATGTTAGAAACAATGGTATGGTTCCGATAAATAACCAAATACAATCAATAAAAAGTGAGCTGATTGAAACGACCGATTGTATGAACAGTGTTTCGTCCCATTCACTTGCCCATAAAACTTCGAACATGATGCAGTCAGCCTCCATTCATAGCAGCGCCAACGCCTTTCGCGTGGAGGGCTGGAAATGCGGCCCTGAGTTCCCAGTGAATAGGGACCATTATCTCAAACACAGTCAACAGCACGAACTCGATGCAGTTGAAATTCTACAACAGCCACAACAACATCACAAACTCTTCCAATCAACGTACAGCAGCATCGACACTTTATTATCAACAGGCTCGACGATGACATACCAGACATCGCCGTCATCATTAACATCGCTAACAAGCACACTAACCACACTAACAACAACTTCAACATCAACAAAAGTACCAACTTCGACAACAACATCAAACCCTCCCGTTAAACTTCCACCGCCATATCTGTCGCCCAAGTCGAAGCAGCGCGTTTGTGCCGTCGTCAATCCGTCCATCGTCAACAAATTGTACGTCGAAACAGCCACTGCCACATTCGGCAGCTGCAGCAGCTTCCACAGCGTGAAGAACAGCAACGAGGGCGGCCACAAGATGGCCAGCAACAACGACGAATCAAACGCGAAGAAAATCAATTACAGCGTTACCGATGTAAAAAATATGACGCACGTAAGAAACAAAGACTATAACTTTATGGAAAGCCAAACTTTAATAAGCAACGCCACTGTTGACAACAGTAATAACACAACTAGCAACAAAAATACGGATTATTTTTACAAAACCTCCCCAATGTTATATAAAAAAGATTTAAAGACGGATGTTTCGACGTTTCATAATGAAAAACGTTACTGTCAGGCGTCCAGAGATGAAATTCATGACATAAAACTGGTTGAGTGAGTGGGTGATCAAAGTGGAACCACTTTGTTACATCTTTTTATTATTTTGTTTTTACGTTTGAATTAACTTAATTTAAATAAAAAATAGAATAATTTTTTTAAGTGTGAGGCTTGTTTATTTAAATTATCAAAAAACTAATAAAATGCTAATTTTGAAAAAATAATAACTAAAAAATAATATAAATATAAATAATAAAAACAATAATAATAATAATAATATATAATATAAATAATAGAAAAAATACCCAAAACGTTTCATAAAAAAAACTTCACACGAATAATCATCGTCGACCAGCCGCATAAAAATATTTTTAAAACTCTGATGAGTTTTACAGAAAATAAATCATTTCAATGAAAGTAGCAATCGCATTATTAGGAGAACTCACTTCATGGTACCATGCAAACCTGATTTGAAGAGTAGTGTGGTCGCGTTAACGAATGTATTAGGACGTTTTATATGAAGATTTATGAAAGTTTAATTTATCTTCCCTGATAGATATATTTATGTGTGCCCTTAACTTAATTTCTAGAGAAAAAACATCAATGTTAATGGTAAGGTGATTTTTTTCTAATTAAAATTCAAATTTCTTACTAGAAATGTGAAAGAGCAGCCTGCCAGAGAAGTTACACCACCGTTTGTGGTTGCGCAGATAGCATTGTGAAGCACATACTTGTACCCCGCGATAACTACCATTACAAACAAACTTCAAAACAAATCAATTATAAATCTCCTCATTGCAAATAATTTACAAGCGGATATTTTTAACATAGTCGCCAAATAGGATGAAAATATTTTTTAAACAAAGGTATATTATCATGATGTTTGGATAAAGTTAATCGTTATGTGCTACACGGCTTTTGGCTGTTTATTTGAAACATTGAAATTAACCGATTCTGAGCAGATCTCGATTGATTCCTGTGTGTGTGTGTGTGTGTGTGTGTGTGTGTGTGTGTGTGTGTGTGTGTGTGTGTGTGTGCTGAAGATGAAGATCGTGTGTGGTGGATGATTTAAAGATTGATGGAGACAATCTTATAGACATTGCTACTGCATAATTACGCTGCTCATTTTGAATAACGACAGTTAAGACTTTTTTTTCTTTGCAGTAATAAATGTATGTTTGACTTGTTGTGTATACATACAAAGAGTACACCATTTATTTAGTCCACAAACATCCCATCGTCAATTTTATGAAGGACTCAGTTGGATAATTAGTTACTCGCTTTTTGCCACATTTCGTTTGTCATTTCAAAGAACAAAATCACATTTCAAGCGCTGAATATTACGGGAACACATCACATACACACGCTACACACATAAACACGTTGTACACACACACACACAAACACACACACACACAGAGTACATGCTTTACCGTTAAATTACTAATTAAAAAAATTTTAAACTAAAAACCGGTCTACAAAGATGGTCTATATGTGCTTTTACGAAGAAGTTAAATATAAGAGTACATCATACAAGCATTTCAAAAGCCCGGCCAAATTTATAATTGTTAACAAAATTAAATACAATCTCCATATGAATATAATGTAGGCACATGCACATATGGAAGTACACACAGGCACAAACACACATAACAACACTTTTACATACATACATACATACGTACATACATACATACATACATACATACATACATACATACATACATACATACATACATACATACATACATATATACATACATACATACATACATACATACATACATACATACATACATACATACATACATACATACATACATACATACATACATACATACATACATACATACATACATACATACATACATACATACATACATACATACATACATACATACATACATACATACATACATACATACATACAACCGAATTTATTAATTTATAACCTGATCAAAAATGTTATTTATGAGCCAGAGGAATCCCACACAAACGTACAGTATACAATTTTTCAAACAAACAAACAAACGAACGAACAAACTTATTTTAGAAATACAAATAAAAAAATACCTATACACACAATTACAAAGGTACCTACAGAAAAGGAAAAATGGAATAAGAGAAAGAGAGAAACACACACACACAGAGAGAGAGAGAGAGAGAGAGAGATAGAGAGAGAGAAGGAGAGAGAGAGAGAGAGAGAGAGGGAGGTGAATGGGAGGAGGTTGTATAAATGGAAGACAATTTAATAAGAGGAATGAATGCACGTTTGAATTATTTATTTGCCACAACAGATGGCTGTATCATTTTGTGTGTTTCATTCAATACATTTAATGCATAAGCAGCTTCTACTTCATACGTTCATAAATATATATATATATATATATATATATATATATATATATATATATATATATATATATATATATATCACACATACTCATACCATAATTATATATGGTGTATTTATGAAACATACAATCCAATACTTATGAATGTGTGTGTGTGTGGGAGTGTGTGTATGTGTGTGTGAGAGAGAGAAAGAGAGAGAGAGAGTGAGGGTAATAGTGAAGAAGAGTGTGTTTGTGTGTGTGTGGAGTTTGTGTGTGTGTGTGTGTGTGTGCGCTCGTGTGTGTTGAGTTAGTGTGTGTGTATGTGTGTGTATGGAGTTTGTGTGTGTTTGTGTGTGTGTGTGCGTGTGTGCGTGCGTGCACAGATCGCGTCGTCAATATTGTCAAAGGAAGGAATTGCTACGCGAATGGTATTAATGCCTCGCTCCCTTAGTGTCATGCCGGTGAAACTGAAATCTCCGGACACCCATGTAATCGGCCCGTTACATATTAAAATATTTTCAGTAAATTCAAGGATAAACAAAATTAGATATTCAACAAATTCAAGTTAAATTCTTAAATTAATAAATCCAACTTATATTTTTAACTTTGTTTGGCGAAATTAGCAATCTTCAGACATTGCATCGGATGAAATTTGGTTGATGCCCGTTAGAAACAAGAAACATCCCAAACACTTGAAGTGCTCCACTGCAGTACTTTTATTTTATCTTCTTCATTTCATAATATTGTTTTGCATGTTGCACCAGATTCTGCGTCTGTCAGATCCTGATTTCTTAAAAGGATGAAAAATTGAAATATCTCAGTAGCAGTTGGAGAGAGAAAGGAGTGGAAACTGTTGCCGTCTAACTTTTAAAACATCTCTAACATACCGCAAATGATAATAACCAAAAGAGGACATGCATGTAGATGAACTATTATGTAAATCTCACAAGTGAACATTTAAGAGTGTGATCCGCTCGTTTGATTTCAAAGGTTGTATGTGCCAAAAGATTCGAAATTTAGGCTGTGCATATAAGAAAGCCTCCATAACTTAAAGCCTCAGTTATCGAATTTGACGAATTTTGCCAAGTGCATTAACCCCAATTGATGGCTGTAAGATATCTGAAGCATTTCGTGCTATAATTTCAAGTTTTAACGTTCAATAGCTGCAACATCATTCAAGCAGAAGCAAATGTTCTTCCTTACTTCATATAAGTCCTTACAAAGATTGTTCTTCTCTGTTATAACAATAAACTCACTTCACCACCATCACATACATATGGACACACATCGTCGTCCTCGCCATTATCACATACGTTATTTCATCTTAATATTTCGTCCTGCTCTTCCATAATGTAACATGGTGAATGTTACTAAAAGTCGTTAGACTTAACATGTTACATTGTGTGTTGCAGGCTATACTGGACATTACATGCCGTATTGAATTAGAGGCTGCATGTTACTTGTAGTGTATGGGCGCGTTGGCACATTGTTATCTTACTTCAATGGGCGAAGATATTTATTCATCCTCAAATGGAAGAAAGAAACGCAAGAGAACGATATTAAGATACTGATAAAGATTAATTGATGCCTCAAAATGCGGGTTTTCTCCATGGCACTAATTCTATTATCCCGGCCTGACTATTTATCATCGGTGTACACGCACACACACGCTTACGTACACACGCGTGTATGAATAAATAACGATTTAAGCCTATGTATCTTTATACGTGTATTTATATGTATGTGTTGTGTTATGTATGTATGTGTGTGTGTATTTATGTATGTATGTAGGTGTGTGCGTATGTATGCATGTATATACATACGTACGTATGTATGTGTATGTATGTATGTGTGTTTGTGTGTGTGTGTGGGTGTATGTATGTGTTTTATTATTATTATTATTAATTAAGAGCAATTTGTTAGCGCTAATTAAAACTGTTTCATGAACCCTCACATTAAAAAACAAAATGTACGTGACTATATATACGAAAAACAAAAATTAAAAAAGTCTCAATTTTTACAGTTTAACAGAAAACAAAAATGTTTTCAATTCTTTCTTAAATAATTACAAAGAAAGTCCAGATCTTCTGAACGCCTGTGGAAGACTATTCTAAATAGCGGGACCAGCATGGGACCTATGTCTCTTGAACCAACTTGAACACCTCTAACTGGCACGAACAGCAAATTCAAATCATCCGAGGTGTGATGAAGAGTCGATGTGGCTTGTTTTTTGGCGATTTTACTTGTCATATATTTTGGTGACATTGGTATGTCTAACTATTCGAAAATCCGAACTAACAATATTATAACATTTTATTTTTAAATTTAGAATTTCTGAAACACAATTTTTTTTTAATTCTTATATGATCACATATTTACCACGATCCTCGAGAGCTTCGATTCTAAATTATAAAAAATAAGACAAATTCACTGTGTATTTATTTATTTGATCAAATTTCTGCATTTTATAAAAAAAAAACAACGATTTGAAAGACAGCACATTTAAAATTTCCTAATTATTTGCAACTTTTGTAAACAGTTTTAAAAGAATTAAAATCAAATAACAACTTTGTCGAAAATGATGACGAAAAATCTGCAACCTAGTGACTGAAGTTAAACTATCTATTGCACTGTCAAATATGAATATACAAAAATACATAAATATTCATTTCCCACTTCACATTTGTGTATGTTAGATTTGTTTGTATTCACTGTTGTTGAATAGTTGTGTAGTTGTGAATGTGCGTGTAGTGTTGAATGTGAGTGTTGCATGAGTTTAAGCGGTGCGTGGCTGCGTTTTAATGACTGATCTTGAAATATTTCTTTGATCTGAGCTTTGATGCTGAGAAATGATCAACCTATTATTTAAAATTAGCAATAAGTTTTATTAAATTATTCGATAAAAAAACATCAAATTATTTCCAGAACTATCATTCAATAAGTGCTCTTGAGTCTTAACACAAGACATAAGAAATTAAAAATCATTATTCACTTTTGATAATTTCTCATAAGCTGTTGGGCTATATTAATCGATCCCGTGAAAATCAATAAACTATCATGAAACGCACCTGTTGAGACTGAAAACTGAATGTGAATGTCTGGCATAGGTAGAGAAATTGAATTTTCATTTAGGATGTCATTAAGTTCAATAATTACTCAACCGGAAGTTTTTTAAATTTAAAAACATGAAAATAAATTCTGAGAACACCAGTCAACGAGGTTGTGTAGAAATCAGTGCTGAATGTTTGAAGTGCTGCTGAATATTTAAAAGAACGCACTAGTAAATAAATGATGAACAACGTATGCAAAGGCGTTGAAATAATTTAAGCTTACAATCATTACGCCTAAAATATGATAATTATATAGTTTGAAAGCAAAGTTTTAAAATACAAAACTTGAATAAACATGAAGGCTCGTCCAGGACCTGATGCATGAACTCACTTTCACGTCACATACTTCATAAGAAATAAAAATTAACTGGAACTTAGATAATCACCCGGCCCCCCACATGATGCATGCATTACATACAACATACACATGGCAATCTTCATCACGTATATAATGAATATAATTCATTTGATTTCTTGGCACGGATGATAAATGACATGAGCAAAATATCATAAAAATTAAAAAATAATTCTAGCAAAGTGCTATAAAACACGAGCAATAATTTTTCATTTTTTGTCAGTTACCTTTTCTGCGGAAAATTTTTTCAAGTCTTTTCACTATACGATGCTTCAATGTTTTTGATTTATTAATTAAAGCAAATATGCAAAATAATTTAAACAGCAGAGCGCATACGAACAAAAGTTTCAAATGCGTGAAGACCCACCAAATAACTACCCCATCTACGCAATGCCAGGTGCTCCCAGATACAAAATAAAAATAAACAAACTGATACGATTTCGTTTCGATTAAGAAAACTTCGCTTCTGATCTTCAATGATATATTCGGATTGCCCTTGAAGGAGTTGACAACGTGGCTCAAGAAGAGAGGACCCGTGCTCAGCATGACATCCAAGTATGGCAGGAAGTAGTTTGTTCGTCTCCTTCCCAATTCAGTTATCATTTGCTCAAAAATGGGATGATCCCGTGTTGAGGCTATGAAGTCTCCCGCTACTCCGATTGGGTCAATTTTTGCGAATAATACTTTGGCTGTTTCATTTGTCACGTTGTTTCGATTTTTCTCAATTTCATTGTGGTAGATGTAATCAAATGGTGCTCTACAGCCGATATTGGTGTCTTTATAAAAACCTCCAAACTTCTTGAGAAGCAAATATCTTCCTACATCTGCTCTCTGAATGGGATAAGGATATGAAAGAAATTTTTCAAGCAAATTTCCGTACTGGTAAATGACCAGATTTAAGAGGTCATCATCATCCCAGTGGCAAAAGATGAAATCAGGGTTGGCCTGCATGCATTTTTTCTCAATTTCTATCCACTTCTTGTTCAGTAGCGCGTGGAACTTCCACGTAGTGTGGAGTACTTTCGGCATACTGTTGGGATACCAGGACAATGAACTGTTGTCCACAAAAACGTCGAACAGAGTCAAGGTAAACTTTTTTAATTCGTTCCTTTCGTTGTGCGCTTCAATTCTTTGGCAAGTTTTATTTTTGAGAAACCAAAACTCATCACCGTTCCACAAGGCTTTGTTGTATAAACCTTTTATCCTATTATGAATTTCATCCGGCTCGACCTGATGGTAATTCTTACAAGTCTGCTTTGTTAAAACAATTAAAACGATTACGCTAACAAAAATGCCATACGTTGTAATCAACAAACAATTGAATTTTTTAAAATTAACAAACATGTTCTAACAGATTCATTCGAATTTTACGTTACTCATCATGCTATCATCCCTTTTATAGAGAACTTGTATAGAATATATTATATATATATATATATTTATCATATATATATATATATACATGTGTCTGTGTGTGTGTGTGTGTGTGTGTAGCGTGTGTAGCATCACAATATTAGCTTCAATTGTGCTTGATTCAGGTAGGTATATATTCCTATTCTGGTCTCACATAAACAACAGCTCTCATCGTACCTTTCACTGCTTCGTTAATAACCAACAATTTTACTTTTATGATCACCGACATGATTTATTTAGCTACTTCAAATTTGGTACACATCATAATGTCAGATTACTATTATATACTTATCTTATATATATATTTTAACAATATTCTATAAATTTTACCGAATGCTTGGCGTTAATATGTTTGTAGTTCGTTTTTTCGATTTTTTTCACTAAAGTTTTTTGGTGAACGTTTAGTTTACTA